CAAGGACAAGGGCCCGCCCCACAACTTGAAATTGATATAGCTCGCCTTGAGAAGGAAATAGAGTTGTACTCACAGGAAAAGCTTTGTTATGAAGCTCAAATACTGAGGGTATATTTCTGCCTCACTCTTCTCTTCGAATTGTGTTATTGTATGTTTTGTAATTAAATTTGGAAAAAAATAAAAATTACATATTTCCCCTCTATTTGGCTAAGTGAATCATTTTAACTTTAAACTTGAATTAGTGGTAAAATTAGTATTTGAAACTAAATTAGAAAATTGCTCAAGAACCCACCAATAAATCATGCAAACATAACCAAAAAGCTCAACAATTGCTCAAGAACCGTGTTATTGTATGTTTTGTTATTAAATTGTGGAGTGATTCGAATCTCAATCAAGTATTCTTGCCTTGAGATATTTGATCAACAAGGTAGTCTGAAGTAGTGATTCCTTATCATTTTGGTATCAGAGCTTTCCTTTGGGTTGATTCCTTATCATTTGGTATCACAGTTTTCCCTTGGATTGATTCCTCATTAGAGTCATAAATTGTCTAAAAAATAAAACGTGAGTGGTCGAGAGTATCAACTTCACCAACCATTTGAGTATAGGGTTCAATTGGATGAAATGAAAGGTTCAATAAATCGATTCATAGGTTAAAGGAATGAAAATTCTCTATACTTTCCATGCCTAGTAAGTTTTTGCTAATTCCAGTTTTAGGTAGGGGAATGTGGCATTGGAACTTGCTGATTGATTGCTCGCTGTAATGATATGAACTTGGAGACGGTTTGTACCATTTTTTACTCATAGAATTTGCTACAAGTTCGAAGCCTCTCATGGGCAGTAGGAGACCAACAATAATTACTAGTGTTAGCTCACGTTGTTTCAACTCGGAAGCTTTCATTCTTTTTTATCTTTATGATTTTTGAGCTTTTGAGATCTTCATTCTTTTTTCTTTTTCTTTTTTTTTCTTTTGATCTAATGAGTTGATTGCAATTAGTGAATTGAATTGATGCTATAAGAACTACAAGTTCACCCTTCGTTTATTTGATCCATACCCTCAACCTTCCTCATCTATTGGAAGCTCTTATTGTGCACATCTGCAGTTTCCTTAAAGATGGTACTTGCACCAAAAAATTCGATCTTTGTTCATGCTGTAAAATATGGACGCCAGTTGATATCATTCTTGATCTTGAATTGATTATAATCTCAAGAGCCATGATTTTATCTGTTATGAACTTCATTGTGGTTGATTTTTGGTTACATCAGTTGAACCTATCTTTGAAACTGAGTGTTACAAACCATGGTGGTTATTTCTGTCCTCTTTGTAGGATGGGACACTAATCCAACAAGCTCTTACTTTCTATCGATTGATGGTTGTCTGGTTAGTTGGTTTGGTTGGTGGATTTAAAATGCCTCTTCCATCAACTTGCCCAATGGAATTTGCATCCATGCCAGAACATTTTGTGGAAGATGCAATGGAATTGCTTATATTTGCTTCTCGGATTCCGAAAGCTTTGGATGGAATCAATTTGGTACCTCTTAACTGATCCTAGTCGATTCTTTCGTTTCTTTAAATGCTGCATATCTACTCTGCTGTGTGAAAACTTTTGATATTTTGTTTTCATTTTGACAGGATGATTTTATGAACTTCATTATTATGTTTATGGCAAGCCCAGAGTATATAAGAAATCCTTACTTAAGAGCAAAGATGGTTGAAGTTCTGAACTGCTGGATTCCTCGTAGAAGGTGATTTTACGTACATGATATGTACATACATCGATTATTTGTTATTATTTCCATACTTATTTTGAAGTTGAGTATGTGGTTCTTGTTTACGTGCAGTGGCGCATCTGTAACAGCAACATTATTTGAAGGCCACCAACTATCGCTTGAATATCTTGTTAGGAATCTTTTAAAGCTTTACGTGGATATTGAGTTCACTGGTTCACATACACAGGTATAGCACGGTTGAACTGCTTTCTTAAATGTGGAAGGTGAAGGCAATTGTTCTGTTTACAGAGAGTGCTCATCTTCTTTTTCCATGTGTTTCAGTATCCCTATTAACCTTTCAATAATTATTCTATGAATGCTTGAAGCTTTTATCAAGCTCAAAGCTGATCCTGCAGGATATTAGAATGGATGCAAAGCAATAACAAAAACGACAAATATAGAAAAAGAACAAAATAAGCTGCCCCTCTTGTTCAATATCTAAAAATGTGCTAGGAAACATGTTGCATATTATGTTAATGCTGTGATATCCTCTCAAATTGACATATTGAGTTATTGTTTCGCCTGTTCCAATTTTGATGAGTTGGAAATTCTCAATGCTGCTTGCTGACTGGTCTTCTTTACTCTGGTGCAGTTTTATGACAAGTTCAACATCCGTCATAATATTGCAGAACTTCTCGAATATCTTTGGCAGGTTCCAAGTCATCGCAGTGCTTGGAGAATGGTAACATTTGCTTCCTTTTCCTCTGTAATTTCTCGGTTGATTGCCATCATGGCTTTATCTTTACATGGCATTTCCCTTAATTTTTCATTCCAGATTGCCAAGGAAGAGGAGAAGGGTGTTTACTTGAATTTCTTGAACTTCCTAATCAATGATAGCATATATCTTCTTGATGAAAGCCTTAATAAGATTCTCGAACTTAAAGAGCTTGAAGCTGAAATGTCAAATACCGCAGAATGGGAACAGCGACCTGCTCAAGAGAGGCAGGAGAGAACTCGGCTGTTTCACTCCCAAGAAAATGTTGGTTTGGTGGCCCTTCTATGAATGCACCTTGTGAACTGTTGTAAATTACTCCCAAAGCCTTGATATTGATCTTGAATCTTGAGCATCTGCTTGATCCAACTTTATTCGTTATTCTCAGATCATTCGAATTGATATGAAATTAGCAAATGAGGATGTGAGTATGCTGGCATTTACGTCAGAGCAAATCACAGCTCCTTTCCTACTTCCAGAGATGGTACTATCACACTGTTGCGTGGAGCATTTCGATGTGTTTTCGCTATAATTCCTCTTGTATTGATCACATTTGGTAATCTTACATTCCAATTTTCCTTACAGGTCGAAAGGGTGGCCAGCATGCTTAATTATTTTCTCCTGCAACTTGTTGGTCCTCAACGAAGATCTCTTAGTCTGAAAGACCCCGAAAAGTACGAATTCCGTCCTAAAGAGTTGCTCAAGCAGGTAAGATTTCAGTTTCTATTATTATAGGCAACTAGTAAATAGATTTGAATGTTTTGTCTTGTAATCTGTGTCTGTACTTGAGGGAGTAGTGGCATGACTGGATCAATTTGTTTCATGTAATCATGCGGGGGAAAAGTAATCAAATTCTTATTGAATCCAATATCACAGCTAAGATTAGCTATTTAATGTTTGTTATCTAAAGCAGGAATATAAGCATGCATCCTCATTCTCCATATTTAGGCCCAATGCAGAGTTGAGGCATGATAAAGAGAGAGTTGATGCCCTATGATGTATATTATAATTCTGGATCATAGATATCCTTGGCTAAGCTTGATGTGTCATTTTCAATTTTCTAGGCCAAGTTTTAGTTTCTTTCCCTTCTGTTTTCTATAATGAAATAATATGATACGCCTCTCTGCTAATACCGCAGATGTCTTTAGGGCACTTAGAATTGGCAGTTATTGTCATAATTTGGGTTGTTCATGCCGTGTCTTGACATATTTCGTTTGGGTTTGAAGATTGTTCACATGTATGTTCATCTGGCAAGAGGCGATACAGATAATATTTTCCCAGCTGCCATTTCGAAGGACGGGCGATCGTACAATGAGCAGGTAATTTATTTACTCCAACTTTGTGACAGTCCTTTGAGAAGATAATCCCATTGAGCTAGAAGGAAAAGAAAAAACCTCCTAGTATAACTAAACTCCAATGTGTTCATCTCCTCTGCCTGAATTTTGTTGCTTTCTCCAGTTGTTCAATGCTGCAGCAGTTGTACTTAGGCGAATTGGAGAGGATGGGAGGATCATACAGGAGTTTATTGCTCTTGGTAACAAAGCCAAGGATGCAGCTTCTGAGGCGATGGATGCTGAAGCTACTCTAGGAGATATACCGGACGAGTTCCTCGACCCAATCCAAGTACGTTTTACTGCACTCATTGTATGTTTAAGTTGTGGGTTTCAATCACTCTTTTGGGTCATTGAGTTATTGATTTCATTATGATGTATGATCACTGAGCAAAAAAAGCTTTTAATGTGTGCATAAAAAATGGAGTGGTTTTGATCAGACACATATTTGAAGCTTAAAAAAACAAAACTGATACTATGTTGGGGACAACCAGTTAAAGCTCATTTTTCTCCTTGTGTAGTACACTTTAATGAAGGACCCTGTGATCTTACCTTCTTCAAGGATCACGGTCGACAGACCCGTCATTCAAAGACATCTCCTCAGCGACAGCGTAAGACTTGCATTTTCTTTGAGTAATGTCGAAACAAAATGTTCAGTTTCTTTTGGCTAAACTCTACATGATTTGCAGACCGATCCGTTCAACCGGTCTCATCTGACAGCAGACATGCTAATACCGAACGAAGAACTGAAAGCAAGAATCAAAGAATTTATCAGGTCACAAGAAATGAAGAAGCAACTGGACGGAGGAGGGGTTGCTATGCAGAGCAGCAAGACAACCATCCAACCCACAAACGGAGAGATGTTGATTGATTAACGTTGAGAAATTACTTAATCGCCTTGTTATCTTATGGTTTGGGAACGTAACATTTCAGAAGATATTTATATTTGATACAATGCTGTAAAGCTGATTAAGAATATTTTCATTGGGCACTATTTAGCACATAGGCTGCCTGACCTTGTAAGTTGTAATATTTTAAAATAAAGATTGTAACTTATCAGGAAAGCAAAAGTTAGAAATTTTAATGGTTTCTATTATCTGGATGAAAATTGGGAGCATAATGCATGTTTTACCTTTTAGTTCAACAATACGTAGAGAGGGAGATTCGAACCTCCGAACATGTTGTAAGTCAGTGTATTATTAATTTTGCTAGGTTGATGTATTATTGATGTCCCGGCAAAATGATGGGTTTCTTTTAGAGAATACAAGAGTCATTAATGTACAAAAAGAAGTAATTACATTTAGTCCAATTTGCTATCAGTAATAGATGCTAACGCATTCCTTTCGCCGCCACAACTATCACGACCATCTTCACTCTGCAAAGCACAAACAAATTACATGTTTAACAAAGTCAACAAGTGGAAGATAAGAATATGTTAGAGTTATTAAGAACGTCATTCGGGGCATCTTTAGTAATTAGTTGGTGACCTTCTTAAGGTTAGAACAGTTAATTTGAAATTGTTGTAGCTTTTCATTTTGGTCGTAGGTTGTCTAAGTAGGATGCTGGACAATGGAGCCTTGAAAGGATTTACAAAATCCATAAATATTCATAACTCTTCACTTGGCCATTAATCACTTATCGTTTGCACGTAATCGAGGATCTCCTACCTTCATCACACTATTTGACAAAGCTTATGGTCTAAATATTTGGGAATCTCCTTAATACTTAATGAGTTAGCCAGGCCTGGTAGTTATTGTTGGATGATGAAAGTCCCAATGATCAGGAGTGTTTATAATCAAGGGATACTATCTCCATTGGTACGAGACCTTTTGGGGAAGCCTAAAGCAAAGCCATGAGAGCTTATGTTCAAAGTAGACAATATCATACCATTATGGAGAATCGTGTTCATTTAACATGGTATCAGGTTCATGCCCTAAACTTAGTCGTGCCAATAGATTAGTAAATTCTCAAATGTCGAACAAAGGACTCCAAAAGAAAAGAAGTCGAGCCTCCTCAAAGGCACAGTAAAAAATGACTAAGACTCCAAAACAAAAAGGAGTCGAGCCTCGATTAAGGGGAGGCGTACTTTGTTCGAGGGGAGGTGTTGGATGATGAAAGTCCCACATCGGCTAATTTAGGGAATGATCAAGGATTTATAATCAAGGAATACTCTCTCCATTGGTATGAGGCCTTTTGGGGAAGCCCAAAGCAAAGCCATGAGAGCTTATGCTCAAAATGGACAATATCATACGATTGTGGAGAGTCGTGTTCATTTAACAGTTATAAGAGACCTAGTTTAGTGACCTAGTTTAGTGAAAGGTACAGTTAGTGGCAACTTGCAAGCTTGCATTGCTTCTTAACAGCCTAACTGCCAAAGGAACCTGCTGTTATTAGAAACATCTAAGCCATTTATTCCAGCCCAGTCCAGTTCTTAAGGTAGATCAGAATTAAATCAGATTTATTAAGCATTCGAGCTCTTTGCGCACATAAAAAGAGCATCCAAAGAATAATTAAGAGAAATTTGGATATTGCTACCTTCTTTGTTAGACCATGAGCAGACATTATTTCATAGAACTTGCGCATGAGCATTTCTTCTTCTACCTGCAAATATTAGCATTCCAATTACTTAAGAACTAGCAACAGAACCAACAACCTTCAAATAATAACCCAAAATTGCAGGAGTTCTCTTTATACAGACTAATGCAACAAAACAATATTACATTGATTTTGAATTTCCAACTGCATTAAATGAAAACTCATCTCTATATGTGAATTGCAGTTACTCTTCCTTTTCCCACACTTGCAGAAACAAGGTACTAAGGTATAATGCAAACAATGGTAAGTTACTATGGTTCAAAAAGAAAATACTTCATCTTGCAATCGTAATTGATTACATTTAAAACTAAGCACACTCAAATATTGTTTGGAAAGCTCACTCCCATTCTCTTGTCAGTACAAAATTGTCCTAAAACGCATATACAAATTGATAAAATACTAGTGAAACAATATTTTAATAGTAGCTTCTAAAAGAACTATATTCAGCAGTCAAAACAACCTAAGTTAAGAGTCCTAGAGGCTTAAGAACTTCAAAAATGAAAGTCAATGAAATAAAATCTCAAACTGAATCAGATATTCATGGATGCCAATCAGGTAAATACATAAAGCCAAGGGAATTGAATCATATATGCATTAATATGTCAGATTTCTTGCAAAGTATTCTAAAAGGTAAAGCCTTAGAAAGCTGTACAATGCAGCTCAAACATTTGCATTAGAATGAACTCGCACAAAAATAATATTAAATTAGAAATACAAGTTCATCAAATAAATCAGAAATCAAGAGCAAAAGAAAAGAAACCTGAAGTTTATGTAGTTCATGGGACATTGATCTATAAGCATCCATAAGAAGCTCATCCTGCTTCTCCAAATGTCTGCACCACAAAAGCAGAAGTTAATGATCACTGATCAGCATCCAACAGCCAAATACACAAAAGGGGTTACAACTGAGTTAATTGAAAAGACCTTACTTCAAAACCTCTCCTGTGTGCTTGGGGTCCATTCCAAGTGGTTTAGACTTCAACGGGTTCCAAAACTAGGATTTCATTTTTAAAAAACCACCCTAAATCAGTGATGTTATAAATGTTTGAGAACAAGTAGAAGTTAACAAAGCTTAAAAGAGCTTATCTATTTAGATTGGTTCGATGAATTTGATGAAATACGATCCAGCAACAAAAAATCAAGCTAAAATTTGACATAATAAATACAAGAATTGATGAATTTGACATAAAAGCACCCTAGAAATACAAGAATACAAACAAGGACTGGAAGTTATGATCCAAACTAAAATTGCAGTCCGACATTCAGATAGGTGAGAACAGAGAATGGTGCGATAGTGAATAAAACTCTTCTACGACTTGATGCGCATTGCCGGTAAGAGGTCGCTATTTCATTAACATAAGAAATCAATTAACCGATCAATGGCTAAGTGAAAAAAAAAAAAGGAGGATTCTACATATGAAAAGGCAAGAAACGCTACAGTTTTCACCGAAATTATCTCCTATATCAACTGATCAATGGCTAAGTGAATTAGAATGAGAAAGCGGAAGCACAAAGCGTTAAGAAAAAAAAAATGAAACTCACTGTCGCCTGTGAACAGGTTGACCTCTCAAATCTGGCAGGCACTCCACGGCGGCGGCAGCGGTGATATCGTCGCAACTAAGGAGAGAAGACTCGCACAACAGTTTGGGTCCAAATGGAGTTCTACCGATTTATCGTAATTAATTAATTTTTTAAAATAACGTAAATTTAAAATAAAATTACATTTTTAAAGAGAAATGTTAATGTGGTACAAATTAATTAATTGTTAGAGAAATGTATAAAAATTGTAGAATTTAGTGGTAATTATTTGAATTAGTAATTTATATGTAAATGTGGATGCTTGGAACAATTTTGAAAAAATTATATGAATTATTAAATGAAATTTTAATTATGACTTACTTATAAAATGACCGAATCTAAAAACACGTACCCATTGAAATAATTCATTAATTTTTTCACCACATTTACATAAGAAATATTTGCATAAATCATTACCGTACAAAATAATTCAATCTCACAAAAAGAAAGGAGAAAAAAAAGGTGACGGGAAAAATGAGGAAAAGCCCACGAACTTCAAGCTCTAACCCGTTGTTGCCACCGCTAATGTGGGAGATTCATTGAGTTAAAAACGTTTTAAAACGCTCCAAACACTTAAAAAGTCAAACCATGGTGAAATTGTAGCTTTTGTTGTTTGCCTTCTTATGAACATGACTTGGATTTTCATGATATAGACCCGATGTGATTCCCTTGTTAATTGCCAAGACCTTCACGTTGCCTATGGATACCTAGAACGATAAGACTTACCATTCCACGAACTAGTTTACGAGAGTTGTTAATATTACGAGCTTGTTTTCTAAGGAAGTTATGGTAAATGCTTGAACTCCCTTAAAGTGGGCATAAAAGTAAGTTGACAAAAATTGAATGGTGGTCACTTTAAAGTATATACAAAATTGTCATTGCTTTTCGTTCCCTTTTCTTTTATTCTTTCTGTTCTTCTGTTTTTTTTCCTTTATCAACTTATTCTCTAAAGTACAAAATTTGTGTTTATTCTTCCTAATGCCTTCCTTCCACCAATAGAAAGTCCAATAGATACAAATGGTTTTTTTTTTTTTTTTTTTTGCTCTCTCAGAAGATGATTGATTACAAGAGATAATGTGGAAGAACGAAGAAGGAAGAACGAAGAAGAAGAAGAATCAGTCTACATTTTGAGATATTAAGTTAAGACGAATCATATCTAGGGCATTCGTCTTCGGACGAAGTCGAAAATGAGTGTTTTGCATTGGCAGGACCAAATACCAACTCCAAGCAGAAGGATGGACCACAAATCGACCTTCCCTTTTTCCCAACTTTGTCCAAATCCTGCAACCTTAGCTGCAATATGCATCAAATTCAAGGGTGAGAAAAGAAGTCCCATTTTGCCTAGTTCTTCAATGTAGGGAAACTTAGCTTAGTCATCCATCACATTCGCTTGGTCAAATTATCATTTAGTCCTATAGTTTGTGTTTGGGTATCTGATTGGTTCTTATGGTTTTATCAGTTTCAATTTGATCAATATGGTTTAGTTAAAATCCCTCATAACTTCTCTTGATTCACTACATTTTATACATAAACATGTTATGCATTCTTTGTCACATAAGAAGCCTACCAACCTTCTGTAACATCAAGTGCATTTTAAGAGATTTAATAAAATCATAATGGTAACTTAATCTTGTTCTTTTTTCTTAGAGAGCCTAGAATGTAAGAATACTAACTATCACAGCATTTAGTGCAAATTGAAAGCTTCTTAGACTAAGATATGCAACCATGATGAATGAGATAATAGTTTTCACGCGCAGAACAAGGGTTTAGAAGCAGTAGAAAATCAGAGTCAAAGAAGTACCTGTATCAAGCTGTTTTTAATGAAAGCTGAGTTGAAGCAAGCATAGAACAGACGCCCTCCAAACATCTTTGCGTAGAATATAATGCGCACATCTCCAGTTAGCTGTTCAGTCAAATTACATAGATTTTCAAAAGAAAGGATAGACAAAATTCAAAGTAAACAAATGAATTGTAGAGTGAGTTTCAGATTACTAATGAAAGCAGTACTTCTGGATGAAACATGTTTTCTATTGAGAGATTAAGGGCTTCCTCGAAAAGGATGTTAGACCCACTGATTTTGTTCTATTTTAGATTGACAGAGGCCAACTGAATTTCAAAAACTAATATAGTAGACCTGTAACAACTCGAGTCCACTGCTAGCCGACATTGTCCTCCTTAGGCTTTCCTTTCTGGGTTTCCACTCAAGGTTGGGTTTCCACTCAAGGTTTTAAAACGTGTCTGCTAGGGGGAGGTTTCCACACTCATATAAGGAATGCTTTGTTCCCCTCTCCGATCACTGTGGGATCTCACAATCCACCTCCTTGGGGGTCCAACGTCCTCGGTGGCACACTACCCGATGTCTAGCTCTGACATCATTTGTAACAACTCAAGTACACCGCTAGCAGATATTGTCCTCTTTGGTCTCTCACTCTTATAAGGAATGCTTTGTTCGCCTCTCCAACCGACGTGAGATCTAAAAAACCAGTTGTAGTAAATCAGCTTTTCTCAAGTTATTTGTACATTACGTGCAAGAACTGATGAATGTTCACGGATTGTTAAGCGTAATCATAGAAAGAGCAGCCTTCTTGTTACTTACAGGTAAAGGCTTCTCAAAATTGTAGTCAAGGCAGGTTTTGTGGTATAGTGCTGAACACTCTGTATCCATCTGAACAATAAAATGGGGCTCTACTTCCGACTTGTTCTCTTCATTTTCGCCTTCAACAAAAGATAAAAAATAACGAGGACTGTTACTGCTCTCATAACCACTCTTAAATTGTCTGCAACAACTCCGGGTACGTTCCATAGATGGACGGTATAGCTGAGAAGGAACCTACAAATAATAACAAATAAAGTCTTAATGTACATAAAAAAAAAAGAGGAAGATAATATAACACTGGTTCCCTTCATTGTATTAGCAAATGAAGGATCACCATAAAGGCAATGGAGATATGATGTTAACAACTTATGACGGAAGGTGTGAGAAGTAATTCAAAGAGACTTGAATTACCTCCTGCGATTCTGAGACCACAAAGAAAATTGATTCAGTGTTAACTGTGTCATAAAGACGAATTCTCTGCAACTCTCTCCTACAGGGTATGGGCAACTTCACCTCAGGAGATCCATTATAAATTCCCTTGGGAAAGGAAAGGCACTTTGCCCAGTAGCCAACATACCGCCGTTGGCTTGGAATTGATACCTGTTAACATTAGAAGAAGGCTCAATGTGAATGACCAAGCACCACACTTAAGTCATAACAACTTCTTTTTCCTAGTCTTGTTCAGATCATATTAAATGATGAGATGTATTCTAGTTCATATCAATAACTCATGTGTTAAATATCGTGAAAAATAACTGGAACATAATCTCACAACTGGGAGAAAATCTTAAGAATGTAATAAGATCAAACTTATAATCCAACAACATCAGTATTGGGGTTCAATAATAATTTAGCATGAGGCAAGGTCAATGTTTTACCTCTCTCTGTCTAGGATTGCTAACTTTAGATCGTAGTCCAATATTAATAACAAAAGAGGCCTGATTTTTTAAATCAAAAGTTTTATGCTGTTCAATCCATCCATCTAATAACGTCACACTACCATTAAACCCTAGTACCTAAAACGACTTACTCCTTCATTATTGGTCGTCCGCCTCTGAGCATACAGGTGAAGTGCATCCTCCACTGACATGCCACAGTAAACCAAGTAGGCACATACCATTAATCCGGTTCGACCTTTCCCAGCCTGAACAGTAATTACAAGTAATTTGAAACTAAAAAAAGGAGTTAGCATAAAAATAAGTTTGATAAAGCGGTGTGTTTTTCTTAGATTTCTTGTCCCAGAGTATTTCTTAAAAATTAAACAGTCATGCTCGTCCCCTGGCTTTCAATCAATAGTTTGATCAAGCTATGTTATAGCCTTCATGCACACCAAATACTAAAGTAAGTATATCTAATGAACCTTCTCTAAAAGTAGGAATCAACGCAAACTAATTTAGATCTTATTCTCCTTAACTGCAAAAGAAAGTAATACCATAGACGATAGCCATTTTTTAGCAGTGGAAGAAATCAAAACAAATATAGCAGCAATAAAACGACCTTTCAGCCCAAAACTTTAAGATAGGCTTGTTACATCTAAGCTGATTTATTGGTTGAATTTGATTATCATACACCCATCTAATCTTCTGCTAAAGGGAAAAAGTAGGCCAAATTGTTAAATGTCTCATGATACTGGCTCAGTTTGTTTGGATTGAGGAAAGAAATCAGATACGTTGTCTTCTATGCATATAAGCAAATTCTTCCTTCAAACTATTTCAACTGACAAAACATTTTGGTCACACTAGAAATACAAAATTACCATGCAATGTATTGAAATGGGTTGGGGAAATTAAAAAGATGAAAAATTTGGGTAAATTCCAGTATAACAACTATTTTAAACTTCTCTAGGAAGTCACAATTACCATGCAGTGTATAACCGCAATATTCTTTGGGTGGGATGATATCCATGAAGAGACATTTTCACAGAAGAGTTTGATCATCTGTAGCGGTGGAACATGATTATCATCAAAAGGAAATGACTCCACGCGCCCATGAAAATGTGATGGATCATATGATTCTTCAATACAGAGATTATAGATCTGCGTTGTACCAAAAAATATATATATCAAGATGCATGAGTCATGCAGCATGGCACAAACTAGGACTAGTTAGAGAAACAAAATTTGATGCAAATGCTATAATTCCACAGGAAGTGATGAGCTCTTGTTATAAGAAAAAAATTCCATTAGAATATGTTTACATTACATACTGCAATTTTAACCTAAAATCAGTTCCCATGCAAAAGGGTTGTCTAGAAGTAATAGCTGAAAAGGGTAGGAAAAATAAGAGCCTAGATATCTAAGGAAGATGAAGTGAAAAGATATGATAGATCGAATGATCAATAATTAAGCAGTCAAAATTTTACCTTGTAATGTCCTTGATGCCTCATGTCCAATACGGACTTAACCTGCCATAGGGGATTACGATACATAGCACGCATCCGTTCCGCAGGGAATGACATTGCCAGAATATGATCCGTAATGTATGACATGTCAAGATCATAGCCAGCAACAAGCATGCGCCTCCTTTGCTTGGATACCAAGTTACGGATGTAAAATTTTTTGGATAGATAATTCATCAGGTGGTGTTGCAAACTAAGGTTTTCAACCTTCCCCTGACCTTGCTTGGAAAATTTAATCCCCATTTGACCACTATCACAGGCTCCTCCTCATAGATGGTAAGCTACCTATCAAGAAAGCAGTTATTAATCCAAAATAGCAGACATGCATCAACTGCTACTTTCAGAGTCCCTTCGAAACACAATTAATTTCAATATTTTCACACTTATTACTCATTACATTTACAGATTCTACAATTGAAGAACGACAATTGAATTGCTGTACTTAGCTTCTGGAGGATAAATCACCTCACTCCACGAGATCTCGAACAATGAAACAAAACTTTCTCTACTTGTCCAAAAGACCGAAAGATTTGTGAATTACGCAAAATTAACGATTGCAATTATCTTTTTCCATGAAAATAACAAATCATTGCATTAGTTTATCCAATTTCTAGAGAGGCGTTCAACGACATTACGAATTCAAGCAAAGCAGAGACATACAAACCAGAGATCGAAAAAAAAAAAAACAGAAGGAAAAAAGGGGGGGAAAATAAATGATTACCAGGAACGGTAGATCATAAGCTCCTCAGATGAAACCGAAGAGCAGACAGTTCTAGGGCACCCAATTCCGTAAAGAGAGTGCAAAACGAGAGAATTGGCGTACCCTAGAAAAGCTTGAAAACAAAATAGAGGCGGAATTCAAGGTGGTCGGGAGGTGAAGATGAGGTCCATTAGATCAAGATGGGGAGCGGGAGGTAGAATTAAGAAGGGAAAGATATGTAGGAAGAAGAAGAGGGAGTTTGGGGTGGAGTTTGTGAGCCCCAAATTTGGAGGAAAAATGGGCGCCATTGTAGGGCAAACACCAAAGGACTTGGATGCTCTTAGGGTTAGAGGTTATGGAACGTGGAACGAATTGGAGGGAGCTTCCATGACCGTTGCTATTGGCGGCAAATTAACAACTCCTTCACAATATGTTGGTTCTCTTATTATTGCATTTTTTTTTTTTAATTTTCCTTCTTATTTTCAATTATTCGTTCTAAATAATTTGAAATATAGATGTTTATTAGTTTGTATATTTATTTAAGATTATTTTTTATTACTAATAATGGACTTACTAATCTTTATGTAATTATACATTAATTTAATATAATTTAAATTTATATAATATTTTTGGTCTTTACTAATTCACTAGTTTATTTTGGTAGAAATATCGATAATTGTTAAAATTACTCGAAAAGTAAAAAATAAATCGGAACATTATTCAATTTAATTAAAGTGTGTTTTGTATATCTAAATGCAAATTATAAATACAATTAATGTTTTTTAGTGCATAAATGTATTAATTTGTTTTTCAATATAATATTAAAAAATGTGAAATAAAGGAAAATTATGAATATATAAAGGAAAAGTGAAGGGAAAAATGTAAATAGAGGATAGCTAATCCCACATTGTTTGGAGAGGGAAATGAGCCATCCTTGTAACAGTGTAGAAACCTCTCTCTAGGTTTGGAGAGGGAAACGAGCAATTCCTTTCTCTAAGTTTGGGGAGGGAAACGAGCAATCCTTATAATGGTGTAGAAACCTCTCTCTAGCAACACTTTTCAATCCTTATAATGGTGTAGAAACCTCTCTCTAACAACGCTCTTCGAAGAGAATACAATGTGTAGAAACCTCTTTGTAGTAATGCTTTTCACAACTTTAAGAGGAGACCCTTGACGAGAAAGTCAAAATAGTACAATATTTGCTAGTGTTGACTCGGGAAAGTCCAAAAAAGACAATGTCTATTAGCAATGAACTTGGAAAAGTCTAAAGAGGACAATATCGGCTAGCGATAAACTTGAGAGGTACCTTAAAACAAACCAATGTTTGAAGAGGGCATCCAAAATTGATTTAATATCTCTCATATGTGCATTCTGAGATGTCCGAGTTTAGGGACAATGTTGCGATCGTTTAGTGTCGATCTTTGCAAGATTTTTGCGTAGGTCAACAACAAGAAAATGGACAATTCATTGGAGCTCACAGCACCATAGCAAACCTTTGACACTGAGGTTAAATAGTTCATAGGCGAAGCTATAGCTGCCAAGATATTTGTTAAGTAAGAAATTTAAAGAGCCAAGGGGTTGTCAACTACAATAATTCAAGCCTATAAATTAATACAATGTGGCATCCAAAAAAGCAACAGAAGTGTATCATCCTCTCTCCCACACTCACATCATTTACAGCTTGATGTTGAAGTAATCGGGGTCAAAATGATGCAGTCTTACATAACCATCTTCACCTCCACTTGAAAAGCTACAAGAACACCAAATCCATATTAAGCAACACATCAATTATCCATCCAACCAATGCAATGATTTAGTTTGTTTTACACATACAAGCAGCAGTGCAATACACCATACCTCTTTCCATCGGGGTTGAAAGCCAGAGCGTTGATGGGTCCAAAATGCCCTTTCACACCTCCAATCTCTTCTTGAAGGATCTATAAGAGGAAAGGGAAATATCAACCAACCGAACCAACTCTGTAACTCTAAGGTAATAAGATAAATGGCAGAAGGTTGCACCTTGTCATAAAATTTTGCTTCGAACTTTCCTGCACGATGATCAGTTGTTGTCACAGCCGAAGCATCCTGACCACCACCAAGCACCACCTGAAACCCGAAAAGCCAATCCGAGTCCAAAGACATTTAACAACATATCAGACAATTGAGCATAAAACAAAATATCATTGTCAGAAACTTTACTCTGGCAATGCTACATTTGGACATTCACGTATACATACATGATCAAGAAGTGGAGACATTGTAACTGCATTGACTGGGCGTTCTGTCACATACGTCTTGATGAGCGTCAACGTTCTAATATCCCACAGCTGAATTTAAAATCAATGAATAGTAAACCACCAAATTTTAAAATGTTAACCAGATATTGGAGGTAGGGAAGGGGGGTTGTTGAAGAATCAGAGATCTGTAAAGTACCCTTGCAGACTTGTCCAAAGAACCAGTGATAAAATGTGAACCATCAGAGGATTTTGTAAGGGAAGTTATTGTTTTTTTATGGCCTGTCTCCTTGTCTGATTCTTTTAAAAGTTTACCTGTCTGTAATTCAATCAAACATCAAGAGGAAAATAAGCCAGATTCACCAAGAAACATTAAAAAGTTATCAATAGAAGTAGAACTCGAACATTAAACAAGGAGTTAGAACATTAGATTTGGTAACCACACATCTTGATTACAGATGCAAATATTAGGAAACATCAGTTGGCCCTTACCTCAGCATGTCTCTAAATGTAACATAAATACTTCAATTCCAAATATATATATATAGAATTTTACTTCTTGCATACATTATATTAAATGTTCTTGTTCTTAGATGAACACGACTCTCCACAATGGTATGATATTGTCCACTTTGAGCATAAGCTCTCATGGCTTTGCTTTGGGTTTCCCCAAAAGACCTCATCCCAATGGAGAAAGTATTCTTTGTTTATAAACTCATGACCGTTCCCTAAATTAGCCGATGTGAGACTTTCATCATCCAACACCTCCCCTCAGACAAAGTACGCCTCCCCTTAATCGAGGCTCGACTGCTTTGGAGTCTTAGTCATTTTTTATTGCCTTCGAGGAGGCTTGACTCCTTTTCTTTTGGAAGGAGTCTTAGTCATTTTTACTGTCTTCGAGGAGGCTTTGACTCCTTTTCTTTTGGAGTCTTTTGTTCGACATTTGAGGATTTACCAATCTATTGGCACGACTAAGTTTAGGGCATGACTCTGATACCATGTTAGATGAACACGACTCTCTACAATAGTATGATATTGTCCACTTTGAGCATAAGCTCTCACGCCTTTGCTTTGGACTTCTCCAAAAGGCCTCATCCTAGTGGAGAGAGTATTCTTTGTTTATAAACCCATGACCATTCCCTAAATTAGCCAATGTAGAACTTTCATCATCCAACACTTGTTTCGTTATTGCAATTTTTTTTCACAATAATTTTTTTTAGCAAAGATGAGACACAAATCCAAACGAAAATTTAACATATGAAAAGAAAATTAATTGCCGCTGTTGTGGTTAGAACAAGCCACTTGGCCAGGAGGACAACATCATTAGTCCAAGTTCCCAATGCCTAACCCACCTGCTGTTATGGTAAGAACAAGCCACTTGAAGAAATACTTACAGAATACTCTTATAAAGGAATAATAGCCAAAAATACTTTCTTTGATAGGAAGTAGCCATAAAAAATTGCTATACTATTGATAAACACCCAGGACCAAAATCATTACCTCAGAATCCCAAATGCGAATAACAGCATCTTCGCCTGCACTCACAATGGTCTTATTTAGAGGCCCCCAAACAGCTCTATTGATTCTTCCCTGGGGACCCTTAAGAACGAGCACAGATTCACCAGTCTCTGCAGCATATCAGAAACAGTTTAATGAGCATATGTAAATCACTTAGAGCCAAAAATAAATGTCCATTTTAATCACAGAGTCAGCTGAATATAGCAATGTCCACTGAAACAAATCTTTCAAAACCTGCTTATATTGTTAAAAGGGAGAACAAGCATCAATACCAATAAAGCTCAAACAAGTCGTGCAGTAACATTACACAAATTGTATCATCTAGAACTGATCGGAAAACTGAAAAACCAAATGAAAGAAAAACATAGCTTACGTTCCGAGGGGTCTCTGGCAATGCGTTTGACATGAATAGCAGAAGGCAACTCCATGAAAGGATCAGTGGTAATCACTGCAAGCTTATCCCCGACAGAGAAATCAACTGCCCTAGCAGGTGAGTCGAAATTGAAGGAGAAAAGTTGCTGTCCAGTTTGTACATTCCACAGTTTTGCCGTCTGATCCGCGCTTCCAGTGATCAGCCGCATTGAATCTCCTGAAATTCAAGTAGTATCGCACACAAGTTCAGTCTCGGAATCCTGAATTATCAATCCAAACAAACGCAAGGTAACAATAAGAAGGTGAAGCATACTGGAAACATCACAGCACCAAACGGCACCATTATGACCACGATAAGTCCCCAATCGCTCGCCGTTGTCAGCGAACCAGACGGTGGGGTTGTGATCCTTGGCACAGGAGAAAAGAAGATCGCCATCCCTATTGTACTTGAGGAAAGTCAAAGGCCGTTCATGGCCTTTCATCAATATTGGACGCATTTTCGATGAAGTTTGAAGCTAGAATGTGTTGGTAGAAATGATGGAGCCGGTTGCCGTGAGACGCCGGCGATGGTGGGATTGGGAGGATGGGTGGGGGAATTCGGGGCTAGGGTTGGTGTATTTCGGAATTAGACTTGGGCTTGGGCCGGTATTTATTCGATTCGGTTCCAATCCGTGGCAATGGCAACCACCCCTCAGGTGGACTAAGGCTTGGTCGAAGGTGTCCTTTGACTAAGAGGTCTTGAATTGGGCCACGTAGAATCTGATACTCCTTAGGCCTACCCTCGAGCGATATTGGGAGATATGGGGTATGGGGCTGTGGCCATCAGTTTGGTAATGCTGTGTTGCTCTTTGTTGGTGCAGTTGGCAAAGACTTGCCTTTGTGAATTTGGATCGATCTTTTGAATATCTAAGAGTCCTCTGTGAGTCAATTTATAGGCGTCATTTCGTCGTTTATAGACAGTTTGATTATTATATTTTGATGGATGTCAAAACAAAAAGTGTGAAATCATTTCGTCGTTTATAGACAGTTTGATTATTATATTTTGATGGATGTCAAAACAAAAAGTGTGAAATCTTACGCGGTTGGAAAGAGGAACAAAAATAAGGATATGTAAACCTCTCCCTAATAAATGTGTTATAAAACCGTGAGACTATGTAGTGTAAACTATGAGACTATGTAGTGTAAACCTCTCCCTAATAAATGTGTTATAAAACCGTGAGACTATGTAGATGCTAAATGTGTTATAAAACCGTGAGACTATGTAGTGTAAACTATGAGACTATGTAGTGTAAACCTCTCCCTAATAAATGTGTTATAAAACCGTGAGACTATGTAGATGCGTTTTAAAACCGTAAGACCATAATGCGTTTTAAAATAGTGAGGCCATGATGCATTTTAAAATCGTGAGGCCGGAGAAACAAAGCATTCCTTACAAATGTATGAAAATTTCTTTCTAATAGATGCATTTTAAAACTGAGACAAACATTGGGCAGTATGCCAACGAGAGAACGCTGATCCCAGTGGAGATGAATTATGAAATCTCACCTTAGTTAAAGAAAAAAATAAAACATTCCTTATAAGGGTGTAAAATCCTTTCGATAGCATTCTAAAACTTGAAAGAAAACACATAAAGAAAAAATTCAAAGAAAAACAATATCTGCTGGTGATGGACGGACTTAAAGAGGTCCAAGGTCTCGATTTTTGAGTCACTGTTTTCAATTTGTTAGTAAAAACCATGGAAAAGGTGTCATGGTGAACTTGATAAGATTGCAAAATCAGTGAAAACAGAGCAACTCAACCTGGAAATTTGGAACTCGTAATCTGATAGTGTTCTTCACGTACCAAAAAGATGTATCACAGAACTCAATAGAATATCTCTCAATAAAAATAAGACCCACGAGGTTATATGTTTTAAACCAAATGTTTCAACCATTCCTTCTCCCCTCCCTCCAAGGTCATCAACAAAATTATATCCCCACTGGTTTTACCAATTCACAGGCAGACCCCGAACCATTTCTCAGTGTCGGTGCCTGCTCCGGTGGTCCTTGTCCCTCCCATATTCTCTATCTCGCTCATACTCGTAATCTCGATCACGATCTCTTCCCCTGTCTCGCTCCCTACTTGGACTCCGATGTCTTTCTCTGTTTTCTCTTTCTCTATTTCTGCTGCTATCTCGGTTCTTGTCTCGGTCGTCCCATCCTCGGTCTCTACTTCTCTCCCTCCTCTCTTTCTCAACTACACCTGGAAAAGAAAGTTCAAAAACATGTATTTAGGTAGGCTTTATATTTAAGCCAATGACTTTTCAGGATAATCAGAATCTGTAGTAAATCGGTGCCCGTTGAGACAATCAAGAATTTTCCATGTTAAGCTCACTCAAAGCTTCGAACGTGCAATCTTAAGAGTAACTGTGGGTCGGGCAGCCCTTTGGGGGCTAAAATCTCCGACGATATTCCGATGTTTACTTAACAGACATGCACAAGAAGAATTCTCAAAATAATTTCAGGGTGAATAGCATGGTGTTGGTGGACAGACACGTACCTAGTTCCTCGACTTCCCATCCAGCCCGCCCAGCACCTGGTAGTACCCGACCAGCTTCCATTTGCTGAGATTTGGCACGAAACTTCTTCTTAAGGTTTCCAAACTCATCATACATCTCACCATCATCCTGATATCATAATTAAAAGATTGTCAAATCCCACTCAGAAAACGGTTTCTCTCAAAGCAATGGTCCACCATCTTACTTCTTCAGCTTCTCGCCGTCGTCGTTTCGTCTCCTCCAACTCTTCTTCATCGAGTTCTTTGTAACCTCCACCACGCCCTCCTCTATGCAATCATAATTTAAAAATAACAGATAAGACTTTGTAGTAGTCTATAATTATTAGTACAGCTCAAGTACACAATTATACAATCGTACAAATATTTTGTTTGTATGATCAGAGAGACCACGATCAACGAGTAAAAGTTCATCAATGTGGTAAAAATCTCATACTTGTTTAGTTCAACAACAAGCGGAGATAGGAGAATTCAAACCTCTAACCTCTCGGATGAAAGCATGCCTTAATCAGTTGAGCTAGGCTGGCAAAAACCTCATATTTTTAAGACAAAATTTGTGGCATTCCCTTAAGAAATACATAAGTTTATACTATCAATTGTTAAGGGTTGTCGCCTTAAACTAAAAAAAGATAATAAAATACTGCAAGAAACGTCATCGACTAATAAGATCATGTGCTTTTCAACAAAAAAATAGCAAAAGAAAAATAAATAGTTCACGTTATACCTCGTGCCGCCCTCGTTATGACCAGGTTTGTTTGTGTTACAAATGTTGCATTTCGTACGCTTTGCCCAATTAATGTTACCACACCTGAAACATAAAGCAGTAAGCAGTGTTATCAAGCAGAGAACGGGTATCTAGAAACAAATAATCATACAAGACAATATTTCTCCCAAAACTTCAAAATAACATTGTGATTGCTCCTTCGGATCTTCTCTCGAGATGCATCATTTCACGATTGCCATGATACTTAAAAACATTAAAAATAAAAATAAAAAAAACCAAAGAAACAAGACGGTAAAGATATAATCCATGCAAGAACTTCCATAAAAATACCAAATGATAACATTGCAGAAAAGGAAATGCAAAGGTAATACATTCCTGCAAGACTAAACCCAATGCAAATCAAACCATGCTGGTTGAACATAAGTAAAGTGAAATTAGATTTACATTGGACAAGGCCAGTCATTTGGACCAAAGAGGCCAGTAGGGCCACCAACTTGACGGCTATTGCCTCCAGAGTCCTGGTTGCTAGTGCCACGGCCCCTGCCACGACCTATAGAGCCTGCACCACTACCAGCAGCACCAGAAGGTCGAGCACTTCCACATCGGTTGCACACACCGCGAAATGCAAAATTAACGTTGGAACAACTGCCAGTAGGATAGCACATGAGAAGCCATTTAAACAACAATAAGTGAATGATACAAGTCAAGCAAGATTGATCGATTGAAAGAAGCAAGAAGGAGCTGCTCACCAATATCATATCACAGACCTTGTATTTGGACACAGCCAATCTCCCTCTTGTTGCCATGCTTTTCCCGGAACATCACCGCGACCTCTCCCCCTTCCACCGCCCCCATTCACATCCGCAGCATTCTCCTCGAAACCAAGATCATCACCAACAACAATTGGATCATCCCCCACATTAAATGAGAGATCATCCTTACTTTTGGACTCTGCTATATGAACTTCAATGATGTTACCATGAAAATCCTTATTGTTAAACCATTCAACAGCCGCTAAGGCTGCATGTGGATCCTCATATGTTACAGTAGCATCTCCTTTAGGCTCATTCGTTGATTTATCACGATACAACCAGATCTTTGGTCTACCTGTTCGCTTGTCTTTCTTTGAAGATTAAACAAGCGAAAAAGAGAACTATTAATACTAATACAACCAAAAGCAAAGGCGCATAGAAACAGGTAAAGGGTCAACAAAATTGTGGCTAAATTTCCCAACCTTTAGTAACCCAATTGTTCCAAAATATTCAGCAAGCATATTATCATCTGTCCCATAGGGCAGGTTGCAGACGTAGACAGACCCATTTGAAAGGGCTCCTTTACCCGCATAGCTAGCCATTATTCACCAATTTTCATGAAATCAAAGTTAAGACCTACACAAAACACGACCAATCAGCAAATTAAAATCTCTGAAAAAATCCGCGAGAGACACATAAATCTTTTCAAGAACATAGATCTCGAAAGGAAAAGCAGAGGAGAAAGCAAAGAAAACAGAAATCGTCGAGCGATGAATGAAGGAGGAAAGAAAAAAATTAACCAAATTTGAATCATGTGGTAGTGGAGATAATGGACCTCAAATCAGGAAATACAGGCACGAAGAAGATTGAAAAGAGATGAGCGATAGGGTTACCTGAGCTGCGTCGAGTTTCAGACTTTGATTTTTGGTTCGTCTGCCGCTTCTTCACTGCTTTTTCACAGTCCCTCGCTTTGATGAGAGTGAACCGGGTCGATAACGATCCAATTAAACCCACCTTCTTAACATTATTATTTTAATTTCCATACTTTTACGACGATAATAGCTGATGGACTATTCACATGTATTATTATTATTATTATTTTATTTTATTTTATTTTTTAAAGAATATATTGTACTAAAAAAAATATATCTTTATATTATTTATATTATTGACTCTCAAAATAAAAATAATTGTCTTCATATTGTGCCTATAAATACATATATTCAAATCTTCCGTCCATATTGACAAAAAAAAAAAAAAAAAAACTTTTAAAATAATTTTGATTTAATTTTAAAACTAGACTAACTTACTTGTATATATACATACCTTAAACGTTTGTTATTTATTTAAAAAATATTAAATTAATAAAAAGATCTCCAAAATGTTTGTCTAAAAAAAAATACCACTAAATTTTTAATAATACCCTAAAAAGAAATTTTAAGTAGAGAGTGTTAATGCTTTTAATTTGTTATTTTTTAAAACAAAATTAATTATATTATTAACAAAACAGCCGTATCTTATAATACAAGATTAAAGGAAAAAATATATATAATTAAGGAAAAAAAAAACGTGATAAAAATAGTTACAGAAAAATGTTAGTGGGGACGATGCCAGGTGTCACGGTCGTGCTCGTTCAGCAGGTTCATGACAAGTCAAAGTATGACGTTTCAGAAATAATGTCTAGACCCGTCAAAATTGTGCGGCACTCACTTTCCAACGATAAGAACCTCTCTCTCGAAAATCTCTATCCCTGCCCTCGTTTTCTAAAACCTTCTCTTAAAATCGAGGCTAAAGGCTCGAGCATACATCGCTCGCTTGGCTGTAGGCGACACAAGAATGAATTAGCTTAGCTCACTGGTGGTTGGAAAGTGAGTGTCGCACGATCGCAAGTCCGCTACCATTAAAAGTGAACAATGAGAATTAAAAAGAGCTGCAAACAGCTTCTTCAATGGATCAACTCACAGATAACTTTCAAGTCCAATAATGAAGGCCTCATCCGATTATTGCATAGAGAACAAGAATACGAATATGAAAATGGAGAATCAGATCAAAAGTAGCATAAATAGTGTCATTTAAGACCAATGCATTCCCTCTAATTGAAGTTAAACTCATCCATTCAGTTCATGCAGTCCAAGGAAGAACATGGTAGTAGCAACTCCCAGAAGAAAGAACAGGCAGAGAAGCAAAAGAGTAGCAAATTACATACCATTATGATGAACGGATGAAGCAGCAACAAAGCCACATATAAGTGAGATTTTGATGCTCTGTTCTTGTTAGATGCAAAAACAATCAACAACGCATTTCAAATCTTTCAAATGAGTGTCTGTAATCACTCTACAGCGAAAGAGCAGCTTCAATTTTCCCCCACGAATCCATAGCAGGTCCTTTGAGCATCTTCTTCGTCTTTTCAACAACCTCTTTTGCCTCTTCAACCTTTGATATACACACCAATCCACGAACCAGACCCTCCATTGCCTCAAATGGAGGAACCCACCTCCTCTTTATGATCTCTCTACATGTCTCCAATGCCAAATCAAACTCCCCCTCCTTAACCATGCTTCGAATCAAACTATAATAGATTCGCGAACTGGGTGAGACATGGCCATCCTCCAGCATACTCTTCAGAACTTTCGTAGCCAATTCAATATCCCCAACATTGCCGTAGCCATGGATGATTGCATCATAGCTACTAGAATTGGGCTTCACACCCTTTGAAACCATCTAATCTAGCAATTTCTTGGCCCGTGCACACTCCTTGTTCTTGCACAGCCTCAAAATCCTGTAATTGTAACTACCCAAATCGAACTCCAAACCTCTCTTTGAAATTTCCTTCACAATCCCGTCGAATCCGACCAAATCGCCTTTGTTCCAGTAAGCTCCTAAGAAGATATTGTACGAGTCAATGTTAGGGACGACCTTAGCATCATCCTTGTACAACTCATCGATCCAGTTCCGAGCCGATTCAAGATCGTTTTGCTGAACAAATGCCTTCAGCACCAGATTGTGCGAAACCACAGTCGGAGTAACACCAATTTTCTCCGGAATGGTTCTAAACATCTCATGAACCTTCTCAGGCATGGAATTGTTGAGATAAACAGAGAGAACAGCACAGAGCGATTTCTCTGACAGATCGCAGGGTTTGTTCAGGATTACCTGATCAAGAGTGCGAATAGCTTGATCGACCATACCGGAGCTGGAGTAGAGCATGATGAGGCGGATCCAGAAGCCTTCAGAAATGGCGAAGGGGGATTTGAGGTGGGATTGAATGATGCCATCCATGAGGTCGAAGCGTTGAGCACGCGCGAGTTTGCGGATGGAATAGTGGACAATATCATACCATTGTGAAGAGTCGTATTAGTCTAACAGTAGGTTGGGCAGTTGCGTCGGAATGCCGGAAGGTCGGAATATTGGATGAAGGATTGGGCAAGCTTATCGGGATCTGATTGGGACAAAATGGCGGATTTAGCAGCACGAAATGAATGGAAAGGGGAATCGGAGTTTGGTTGAAGCGGCGGAGTTGTTGAATATGTGAAAGGAGGAAGGAGTTTGGAATGGAGGAAGAGGCGTCTTGGAGTTCTGGAGAGAGCCGCAGCCATGGCGGATGGCGATGGGGTTTAGACGTGAAAATTACAGCCTTCAATGGCGTTGGTAGGGTTTAGCCTTTCTACGGGCCAGACGATCGAGGACCGGAGGTAAAGAAAATGAATGGCAAATTGGTCAAACTAATTCGAAAAGGAATAAATAAAATAAAATAAATATATAATTCAAAATGAAATGTTCTTAAAAAGTGGTTTTCTTTTTCTTTTTCTTTTTTCTTTTAAACTTTTTAAGGGTGAAATTGCCCTTTTATCCTTAAGCAACAAAATATTAAATGCCTAAAAAAATAAAAATGGAATTAATTAAATATATAATTATAAATATTAAGTTTTTCTTTTAACTAATTATAAAAAGAGATTAAATATTTTTGAGTTGTTGTATATGATATCTCTATCCATACGTCTCCATATGATCGAATATTATGAAATGATAAAGGTTTAAATTCAAAAGTGAGTTATTGCACATCCCACGATAAATTTACTTAAAAAACGATTCAACTATAATGAAATCTAAAATTTCACACAAACTATGTTCGGTTTTCAGTCACTTTGATGTCAACTTTCTTAGAAACTCCATCAGATACCAGTGCTATAAGATCCGCATCTATAACTCTTTGAAAATTCAAAAACAAGTAAGGAGTATTGATGAATGGTAACCTAGGTAGAATAATCTCAAATGGGTATCACCTAAATTACATTTTTCTGTTCAGCTAAAGCTTTGAAACGCCAAAATACGTTGTCGAGCTTGTCCTCGTCAATCTCATAGCCAAGCTGAAAAGACAATGAGGTATAACATTATTCAATCAATATCAGCTGCATGAAGCCCCTACATGAAATAAATGATATGATAGCTTATGAAAAACGTTATCACAATATACCTTTCGAAGGTAACTTTTAAGAGCATGACGTCCACTATACACATAAGAAAGTCAAAGGTGGAGCTTTGGTTGAAAAAAATAAGAACTTTATCGAGGTTCATAGCAGTAAAGAAACAGGGCATACCTGAGCTTTCCAAGAACAATAACAACATGATTGGATCGTTGATAGCCAATATCTTCTGGTGATATGATTTCGTAAGTGCCTCTGTGCTTAAGCATCCCATCCTGAGTATCAATGATCATATTTAGGATACCATTTAAGCCTCAACAAGAGTAAAAATGGAAGAAGGGCAACCTGGTGGATGCCACTTTGATGAGCAAAGGCATTGGCTCCAACAATGGCCTTGTGGGGCTGCACATTCAACCCAGTGTACTCTTCTACCTGACCAACAATGACACTCAATTTGGCCAACCTTCTCAAATAATTAAGCTTTTTGGTAACTTTTTTAGAAGCTTTCTGGTAACTAATTACTATTTTACTGGCTGAAAAGATATGTCTCGAGTTAATTCCAGTGTAAAGACCTCCAAACACATGCTCTCCACGACATCGTAGGGTCATTACCATCTAAACACATCATGTATCGTAGAATGGTGCATTAACTCGAATAAAGAAATAATACATGAATGAACCGTGACCGCATTTGAATGAGAGTGATCTTAAGGATAAGATGACCGAGAAAAGCTTAAAAGAATTGGAAGTTACTATCTATATCAACAAGATACATATATCCATTGTCTGTCCTATAAAAACTTCATGGTTAAACGTGTTTTGCTTGGATCAATTCTATGTTGGGTCAAAACATGCTAGAAAGGTTTGTGTCGGTCTGTAAGTACATGGGAGGATACCGGGACCATTAATTTCCTAGGACGCATGCAAACAAGGACAGAACATGCTAGAAGGACTTGTGTGGGTCTGTAGAGATAGTCTTCACTCTTAGAAGCAAAGAGTAAGTAAAGTGCTATACCGCAGGGGAATACCGAAGCCATTAGGTGCCAAATTTTAGGCATGGAGTGTTACAAAAATTATAGGACCAATTTGAGCATAGATCGGTTGATAAATGAAAGAACAGATTACCTCCTCGAGTGAAGCATTTCCCGCTTTCTCACCTATGCCATTTATTGTGACCTCAACTTGCCTTGCACCACCGCATGCCCCCTACAAAACAAAAATATGAGAGGAATGGAATTTGGAGCAAGAACATATAGAGGGTTAGTATCACTTACTGCTATTGTATTGGCAGTTGCTAGCCCAAGGTCATTCTGGCAATGCGTTGAAATGATAACATTTTGAGTGCCAGGAGTATTACATTTTATATCAGCTATCAGCTTCCCATATTCAGCTGGCACTGTATACCCCACTGTGTCTGTTATGTTCAGAGTTGTCGCCCCAGCTCTTATCACTTCACCAAGAATTTGATACAGAAACTCTTTATCTGATCTGATACCACACCCAACAAATGACAACTCCAGCCAGCTCAATTCAAATATATACGAACTGCGAAATTGTGTAACCCCACCGCTAGTAGATATTGTCTTATTTAGACTTTTCCTTTGACTTTCGCTCTCAAGACTTTAAAACGCGTTTACTAAGGAAAGACTTTTACACCGTTATAAAGGGTGTTTCGTTCTCCTCCCTAACCGCTGTGGGATCTAACAATCCACCCCCATTCAGGGTTAGGCTAGGAAAAGGCCTTCCCTTTCGGGCTTCCCCTCAAAGGTTTAAAACGCGTCTGCTAGGCTAAGGAAAGGTTTCCACACCCTTATAAAGGATGTTTCGTTCTCCTCCACAACCCGATGTGGGATCTAACAATCCACCCCCTTCAGGGCCCAGCATCCTCACTGGCACTCGTTCCTTCTCCAATTTATGTGGGACTTCCACCAAATTCATTTCCCTTCGGAGCCCAGGGTTCTTAATAGCACACCGTCTCGTGTCTACCCTTTTCAAGGAACAACCTTCTCACTGGCACATTGCCTAGTGTATGGCTTTGATACCATTTATAACGGCCCAAGCCCACCACTAGGATTTTCCCTTAAACGCCAGCAAAACAATCTTATTCAAAACACGTCTGCTAGGAAAAGGTTTCCACACCCTTATAAAGAGTGTTTCGTTCTCCTCTCCAACCGATATGGGATCTAACAAACTCGAACTAGCTCAAGTAGAGATAATTAAAGATCAAACCTGCCAGCATCCTCAGGGCTAAACTCAACATCATCAAAACCCAAGCTTCGTGCAAACCTCACCATATTCCTAGCAATCTCAACCACTTCCCCTCTCGTCTTTCTAAGCTTATGCGTCAAATGAATCTCACTCGTTGCAATGAACATGTGTATTCTTGGTCTCTTAGCATACTTCACTGCCTCCCAAGCAGCTCGAACGTCGCTCTCGGTACACCTCGAGAACCCGCAAATCACCGGCACGTATCCGTCCTCACCTACCTCATTACCAACCTCTTTCGCAACCATCTCCACAGCCTCAAAGTCCTGCCTCGACGCTGCCGGGAATCCCGCCTCAATTGCATCGACCCTCAGCTTCACAAGCTGACGGGCAATGAGAAGCTTCTGCTTCAACGTGAGGGCTGTGCCGGGGGATTGCTCGCCGTCACGGAGAGTGGTGTCAAATACGCGTACATAGGGAGCGTCCAGGATGGAATTTGGGGTGTAGGGTGGACGTTGTCGAACCGAAGACACTACATGACATGATGTTATTTGATGACGGGAAATACAAACGTCATGATTCGGCTTCGACATCGACATCGACATTGAAACCGGCATAGTTAGCATGGACATAGCTGGATTGGGTTTGAGGTCTCGTACGTTGGAATTAATTTGAGGGCATCATATTTGTGGAGGACATGCACGACATGATTTGTCGTTTTTTAACTTTGTTGAAAAGGGAAGACAACTCGCATCTTAAATTATTGGAAAAGAGAATCTAACATATTTTACACGTGACATTTTGCAGCTTTATTTTGGAACTATATAAAAAAAAAATCGAATTCGGTAAAAATTCACAATCAAATTTGTTCGATAGTCCCATTTTTACCTAATGAGTCGTCCTTTTCAATATCGTGAATTACTAAAAATAATGTCACAATTTAGTGCAACTTATTTTAGTTTGAATTAGTTATGGAATATATGATATTCGTAATCTTCTAGAATATATTAGTTAGGAAATATATCTTAGATATCTTAATCCGTTGAATTTGAATAGTAGTATATTTTATTTTATTATCAGGATTTAGTTAGTTTATATTTTCTTGGTAGATATTATT